CTCCCCAGTCTTACTTGAGATCAATCACATATCTTACCCCTAGGCCATCGTCGCATGTCGAAAAGAAAGGCAATGTTAACGTTTTTTTTTTCTATACGAGATGTGTGTGTGTATATTTTAAGACATTTTTATGCTTATATACTCTTTTTTGTATACATACATATATAAACATATATAATTCAAAAATAAATTGTCGAACTTTCCATCCATTTATATATATATATATATATATATATATATATATATATATATATATATATATATATCTCATCAATTAGGATTCATTTAAGCTCACATAGAAAATTACCAAACTCCATCCGCAACATAGTTGTAGAAAATACAATTTAATAGTCTCATCAACATGTGAAATACAGATATAATAAAGCCTTCAAAATGGCTAAAAGAATAGACGAATGCGCTCGGATTTGCAGAACATTTGCACAATTTTGATGCACTTTATCTCCATAAAAGAAGACAGTTATAGGAACACAAGAAAAATCAAATAAAAAGCCTCATCGCAATATCTTGTCTGTCGTCTTTAAGGAAAATTGGAATTGCTAACCAAATACAAATTATATATATATATATATATATATATATATATATATATATATATATATATATATATATATATATATATATATATATATATATATATATATATATATATATATATATTATTTATTTTATTTCTATTAATGCTTTTTATGTGTAAATATAAAAAGCACAGACAGTTTTAATACCATTATAAACATTTTTGGAGCAATAATAAAAAAAATATAGAAACATTTCCACACAAGTCAGCTACATATAACCTCTTTAAAGTAAAGGAAATATGTGTCATTTTACTGTTCAAAAACTGTGTCAGTTGTTGTGTAATTTACATAATAATCTACAGTTAATGCATTGGCAAAAATTCAAAATTTTGATGACGCCAAAATCGCTGCCATTATTGACACAAACACTTATATAATTGTCACAATTTTCTCATATATGCCTTTATGTTTACCCCCTGAAGATATTTAGCATTCGTTTTCTCTAGCCTGGCGTTTCCAGCAATATCTTTTCTCGGTACATTTGTTTGTCTTGAGAACGATAGAAAATTGCTTAAATCTAAAACATTTCTTGTAAACAAAAAAATTCACATGATTAATATATTCCAATGAATACATTTTATCTTTGTGTAATAAATACTGGAATTTAACTATCGAATTATAAACATCAAGAAAAATAAAAAATCAAATACGTAAGAACATGCGAAATACCGTGTGCGTGGCCTTAGGTAATACTGGGTTATAAAATGTTTTATGAACGGCTACCCGAACGGTTACACCAATATTTCTTGACAAAGAGCAATGCCCTAAGACCATCCAAGGACTGAAATTTTGCTGCGCTGTGATGAGGAAGAAATATTATGTTTAGCCAGGGAAGTGATCTTAAGGCCATAAAAAGAAAAAAAGAATGAGAAACGCTTGTATAACAACTACTCTGGAATCGGCTCCGTCCGGTTGTGAGTCCTTCTCGATGCAAAATATTTTACAAGTCTCGTGTTTGCCGCCGCGCCGGAGTAGCATCAGTATTGGAATCGATCAGGAAGACATGTCACCACAGTACACACACACACACACACTAACGCAGAAGTTACAATCTGTTCCATAGTTAAAAGCAATCGTCAGATGGACTGACGGTTACGTTTAAGCACGAGAGAAACTGTTGCCGCTGGGTGTTGACTTCAATGTCCATTTTTATATTTACAGACGCTCTGTCCCTGATATCGAGTATTTTCTCATAATAAAGCAGTACGACTTAAAACTATATTTTAATCATATATATATATATATATATATATATATATATATATATATATATATATATTAGGTCAATACACACACACACACACACACACACACATATATATATATATATATATATATATATATATTTATATATATATTAGTGGTCAATATACAAACACACACATACACACACACACACACATATATATATATATATATATATTATTAGTGTCATACACACACACACACACACACACACACACACACACACACACACACATATATATATATATATATATATAATAAAAAAAGGCTTAAACACTAATATTCCATGGTCATAATTTATTTCATTGGAATCGTAAATACGATCCAATTCATCAGACTTACAAATTCAAAAAGAAAACAGAAAAAACCCAACTCCGGAAATAAAAACAGAATTTAGAGAGAGTGTAAGTATGAGGAGGAGGGAGATTAAACCTTAACAGAGAGAATTTTAGGAGAGGTGGGTGGAAGGGGTTTAATTAAGAGAAAAATATGAATGTTGACTGATGTCTAATGCATAAAGATACATTCGTGGTGACATACACACACCATAGACAATTTAATGTTAGAATAAGAGGGAGGGAAAGACGAGGTGGGGGAGAGAGATGGGACGAAGGAAAGTAAAATTGCGTTTACTTAAAGGGCCGCTTGTAATTGAGAAAAATTGACAAATTTAATATCGACTACAGGTTACAAATCAAATATAAATATATGAAGATAAATATAACGATTATCTAATCCAGCAAGGACCTATATTTCTATGTTCAAAAACACATGCGAATACACAGAATAACATATACATGCATATACATACACATAGCCGTGTACCCACATACACACATACATACACCCATGTACACACATATATAAAAAATATAAAAATATATCCACATATCCACACATACACACACACACACACACACACACACACATATATATATATATATATATATATATATATATATATATATATATATATATTCCCAAGAGGATAGAATCCAGGTAGAACTCAGTGTCCAGGACAGAGTAACAATATAATTAAAAAAGGTTCAAACACTAATATTCCATGGTTATAATTTATTACATTGGAATCGTAATCACGATCCAATTCATCAGACCTACAAATTTAAAAAGAAATCGGAAAATATAACTCCGGGTATAAAAAACAAAACTTTAGTGAGAGTGTATGTGTGGGAGTGGGAATCAAGTATGAGAGGGAAATGTATGAAAACTCTAGAAAAAGATGTAACAGAAGAAAGAACGGGAAGGTCTAAAGGTGAAGGTGGGGATTAAAATTTAACAGTGAGAAGTTTTAAAGACGGGAGTTAAATAACGGTTTAAATGAAAGAGATACAGATAAATATGAATGATTTTTCGATGCATAATTCGCTACCGATTCTCTGACCTAAATTAAAATTAAAAACAGACACCAGAAATGTGTGTATTTATTTGTGGTGATACTACGCACAATAAAAAACGATACGATCTAAACTTAAAATCCAGAAGATGAGACAGAGAGGAGGAAAAAAATAATTGGGGGTGGCAAACTAAAAACGAAGGGCTTTTATAAGAGAACCGGTGTGTAATCAAGAAAATTTGACAAAGCATATAATATCACATACAGGTTACAAATTTAACATAAACATATACAAATTAACGAATATTTAATCTAGTAAGGACCTACTATTTATATGCTCAAAAACACATACGTAGATACACACTTATACAACAACATATCTATATTTACTTGCACATACACACATATACGTGTGCAAATATTTATATATATCAATACACATATACTCATGCATACATATAGACAGACATACACATATGTGCACATAAACATATATACATAAAATCTTTCACACATGCATACATACACATCTAAAAAAATACACAACATATCTATCTATACATATATATTTTTATGTTTATACATTCTTTTTATAGATAGAAAATATTTAAGTAAATGCTCTGTTTATAATAAACAGTATTAAACAACATTTACCGGCCTGAATGTCCAAAAAATTTTCATACAAAATAATCGTTCTCTGACAGGATTCGAACCTGCATCCTATACGGAATCGTCATGTAGCCGAACGTTAACATAACTGATGGAGCCACAGAGAATCGTTCGGTTAGTAAGGTCGAATTTACTGCTTTTAAGCTTCAATCTTCCATGAATCTCTCACGTACATGCATATCTGCTCATGGCGTATCCAAATGTAAACAAATTCTCTGAAAGTACCTCGTCGAAGCAGTTATACCGTGAAAGTATTTGTAGAAAAGACAGAGGGAGGCGACGGCACATCTGTGAGAGAGCGACTGTAGACAAGATGCCAGATCAGGACCAATCACATTGCATATCTGTCTCTGCATTTTGTCGACGACATTAAGGCGAACAGCGGGGGTACCAGACCATATATGGCGGCAGTATTCCATGAAAGGGCCAAAGGTTGATTTATAGATTTGAAGGATGTATTCGGGCGAGAAAAACTTTCTGGCGCGACACAGGGAACGAACTAATGATGATGATGATGATGATGATGATGATGATGATGATGATGATGAACATTCCCATTGTCTTCGAACTATGAGGGTCCATCAGCTTAGTTCTTCGTAGCGAATCGGTAGAATATCCTCTCATATGATGTGATTCTTTTTGTGAAGGTCTTTGCAGAACCAATCACACTTTTCGGAAGAACCGAATACAGTGAAGTGGGACACAGATTGAGGCACATATCATCCAAATGTCGCTTCTCAAGTTTTTGAATTCAGAGTTTTTATTCTTCTAGCTTCTTTACTTACATATCGCTGCTATTCACTCATATTCTCTCCCTTTACCGCCCCCCACCCCGCCGTAAATCTCCAGCTTTGATTTCCCTTATTCCCCACTACACGTAGATATTATTTTTTCTTTCTTCTCGTCTTTCTTTATCTTATCATCAAATTTATCAAGCACTTTTTATACTTCTTCTTCTAGCTCTTTTTCATTCTATTTCTGTTGCTAGTCCACTTCCCTCAACTTCTTCTTCTTCTTCTTCTTCTTCTTCTTCTTCTTCTTCTTCTTCTTCTTCTTCTTACACTTTTTCAGTTTTCTTCCGCTCCCAGTCCTCCATCACTTTATTTTTTTCTTCCTCCTCCTCCTCATCTTCTTCTTATTCTTTTCTTAAGTCTTTTTTTAATAATTCTTTTTCTTCTTCATGTCATCATTTTCATTCACGTCCTTTTCAAGCTCCTTCATATTTTTCGTTCTTTCCATATTACTTCTTTTCTTCTTTTTATTATTATCATTCCACGTCTTTCCATTGAACCTATTTACTTCCACACTTTGTATTCTTCTTCTTCAACGTATTTTTTTCATTTTCTTCTTCATCATGATCGTTTCATTATTTTATTTTTGTCATCATTTACATTCACGCCATTTTCAGGCTTATTCCTTTCTCGTATTTTTTTAAATTTTATTATTCTCCTTTCACATCTTTACCATTTTTCATTTTTTCTTTCATACTTTTTTATTCTTCTCGCACGTTTTTTTTTTACATTTTTGTAGTTGTTGTCATTCTCTTTCTTTTTCTTCTTTTTCTATGTCTTTTTCATTGTTCTTCTTTTTCCATTCTTATTTTCTTTTAGGTCTTTTATCATTCTTCATTATTTCTGTCATTTTCACTTTTATTTTTTTTCACGACATTATTATTATTATTATTATTATTTCTCGCACGCCTCTTTTCCACATCATCTTTTTTAACTTCTTTTTCTAGACTTTTTCCTTTTCCCATTTTTAACCTTAGTCTTCTTCACATATATCTCTGACACGTTTTTTCTTCTCTTTCATTTATCACACTTCTTTTTTCTTCTTCATTTTTCTTCATTTAACACTTTGTTTGCTGATTTGTTTAGATACTCTATGAATTCCGTATTATCTTTCACCTTCGAAATCATTGATATAATTCATATTTATATCCGATTGAATAGATTTTTATCTTAATCGTCATCAGTATAATTTTGTGTGATCCGACAAGAGATTTATTTTAGAACCCGTGTTCATATTTCTGATATTAACTTATGCTTCACCCATGACACAGTCCGGTGTTCGAGTTGAGGTTATAGCAATAATTTCAAACACTGATAATCTCGAATATAGCTAAACCTTTCAGCCATAAAACTGACGCAGGACGATCTTCCTTGTCTCATTTCCTTCCATGTGAACTGATATCGTACTGAGTTAAATAAATAGTAATACCATTAAGGTTGTTATATGTTGCCAAACTTTTAGTTTAAAGAATTGAAACAATTAATATCATATCGTGTAGACATTTTCAATAATCATTTAAATTGTTGTTCTTAATGCGAATAAGTATGGATATTGTGTATTTCCACCCGAAATTGCTGTAGAAGTTATTAACAAGCTTTCGTGAATTGTATGCGAAGAGTGTGCCATTGTCTGGAAATTTTCCAAGAATGCACCGTCATTCACGGAAGCTAGACACGCTCACATGCTATATTCAATAGAATCGGTGGACGTAGTGTCCTGACTGCAGTTGAATATAGAGAAATGGGTGGTTAAAAGCCTGGAGTCTATTCGGCGAACGGCTCACTTGCATGTTTCGCTGATTGCGGAATCAGGATCTGGTTAGCTTAACTGAAGCGTTATCCCAAACTTACGCAACATAATCTTCCCACTAATTATCAGCTCTTTCGACTGGGATTTAAACTGGATTAAGATGCCTTTGGATCACTTAATTTTTCTATCTGCTTTTAGCTTTTACCTCCATATAACTGTTATTGTTTTTTTCTCTTTCACTCTCTATTTACACACACACACACACACATATATATATATACATACGCAAATATATATATATATATATATATATATATATATATATACACACACACACACACATTTCAGTCCTGCTAGTGATTTGCAAAGAAGTCCAGTCCACAGATTGTGCAAGAGTGTCGATTCTTGGAGCATATGGCTGGAACAGCAGCAGATATTTTATTCCTTTCCCTAGTTTGACGAAGCTTGACAATGTTTGATGCTGCCTTGTTCTTAATGCCATTGTAGCATGTAGTCTTCCATTCATTACGATCAATTACGATGTTTTCAAAGGTAGTGTGACTTATATATTATTATATCGCAGCTAAGAGGTTACTCTTCAGCTTGCCCCTTTACCTAAGCAAAGGCTGACCCACGTTTCGATGACCATTGTCAAGTTGACCATACATGAGCATTTTTGGAATTCTGTTGTCTTGCATACGTAACACATGACCTGTCCAGCGTAATTGTGATTTTATGAGAAAAGACTCAAAACCATCAATATCACACATGGTGAAAATGTCTACATTTGCCATTCTGTCGCTTAGGTTTACCCCACAGATTTTCCGAAGACAACCTTTGTGAAAAATATCTAAATTTGCTTTCTGTATAATGTCCAGGACTCTGAGCCATACAAAAGGGTTGTGAGAACTACAGCCTTGTACACCTGTATTTTGGTTCCAAGCCTATTACCTCGATCTTTCCAAAGTCGATGACGAATTTTTCCGAAGACACTAGAGATTTTTGCTACTCTATTGATTATCTCATCATCCAGTGTTCCACTTGAAATTACTTTGCTGCCAAGATAATTAAAATTCTTTACATACTTCAGATTATGTCCGTCGATTTGGATTGCTATTTCAGGAAATGCATGGACCGGAGGGTTCCTCTTGACGCCTCTGATTTGCTTAGGTACTGGGACAGGCTGGTGAACAAATTCAGTTTTTGTAATGCTAATGGTTAATCCGAATGCTTTGCAAATGGCAGAGAATCGGTCCGTCAGGCGCTGGGCTTCTTCAAACGAAGTAGCAACAAGGGCAGCGTCATCGGCAAACAATAAGTCGCAAATTATGCTAGTTCGAGTTTGAGTTTTGGCTTTAAACCTCTGGTGGTTGAAAAGGCCACCGCCTGTCCTAAATTGAATTTTAACACCATCCGCGTGCTTCAGCATTACAGAAAAGTATAGGGCAAATAGCACAGGGGCCATAACACACCCCTGTTTAGTGCCATTAGTAACGCCAAAGGAATCAGACGTTTCACCATTAGAAACAACATTCGCCTACATTCCCTCGTGGAACGATACTATGGCTTGTAGCATGTTCTCGGGTATACCTAGCATTCGCAAAACCTTCCACAAAGCAGTACGGTTCACAGTGTCGAATGCCTTTGCGAGGTCAACAAACACCATATACATTCCCTGATTCTTTTCACGAACTTTCTCGGCAACCTGTCTCAGGGAGAAGATCATGTCTATGGTGCCACGACCTGCACGAAAGCCACACTGCGACTCAGGAAAGATATCATCAACTATATTCTTTATGATCCGGTTCAAAATTAATCTGGCCAAGATCTTACCAGCTATAGAAAGAAGAGAAATGCCACGGTGGTTATCACATATCTTCCTGTTTCCTTTGTTTTTGTACAAATGGTGAATAAATGCATCTTTAAAGTCTTGTGGGACCATTCCCTGTTTCCAAATTTGAATAAATAATTCAAGCAATTTTTCAGCAAGCTTTGTACCACCGTGCTTAAAAATTTTCCGGTGAGATTGCATCTTTCCCTTGTGCTTTCCCAGACATTAATTGTTTAATAGCTGCCAAAACCTCCTGAAAGGTTAGTAAAAATGATAGCTCTGGTATTTCTGGGCATTGAGGAATTGATTCAAGAACACCTTCGTCAGTGGTAGTTGAGAACAGTATCAAAATGTTCCTTCCTCCTTTTCAAGATTTCAGCCTTGTCCGTCAAGAGGTCACCATTTGTTGAATTAATCGGCGAGACACCGTTATCCTGCGGACCGAACACTTTCTTCATTCCTTCGTAAAATGCCTTTGAGTCCTTTCTGTCGAATGCTTCCTGAAGATAGGTAGCCTGTGCAGACCACCATATCTCTTTCGTTGTACTCAGGGCTTTTTGAACTTGTGCTTTACAGCTTGTGTAAGCTTTCTTTTTGCCCGGAGAGTTTTTATCCTCAATCCAGGCTTTGTGTGAACTATGCATTTTCTGGATTAGATTCTGCACTTCTTCATTGTTCTCATCAAACCAATCCTGGTGCTTGTGAATGGGCAACCCGAGCACCTCGAGAACTGTCAAGGTTAAAGTGAGCATGTAATTTTTAGGGCTCCTTTTCTCGCCTCCTCCCCAAGTAAGGGGAAAGCAGTGCTAATCCCAAATAGCCCTGCTTTGTCACCGAGGGAGGACAAGAACCGCACAAATTGCTCACAGGTTTTGTGCGAGAACGGCCATCATCCATCGGACTGCCATTGTGCAGGTATCCAGACAGAGACGCCCAGCAATTTTCTTTTGCCTGTCCCCGTCGCTTTCATCCTATCGCCAATGGACGTGCTTTGCGTGTCGGACTTAATGATAACACACATAAGTTATTTCAAAGTGAATTAAGTTGTCAGAAACCCACACATGTTTTGATTATAGTGGTGAAGACTTGTGTAGCACCATCCACACTTCTTAGACCTGCTGAGAACATGACGTCGATGCCAAAGTTTGCCACGGACACCATGAACAACAGACCTCAGGTTTTTCATCAGAGTGTCCTTCTCCTAGATGCCTATCATAACAAGAACTGAGGTGGGCATCTCTCCCAGTGGTTTATCCGCGCACCCAGACACCAAACTGGTTACTTCTACGTCCCGGCGCATATATATATATATATATATATATATATATATATATATATAATTTTTTCTGTTTATGCGTTATTTTCATAGATAGTAATATTAAAGTAAAATGCTCTGTTTATAATAAAAAGTATGGTATTAACAACATATATCGGCCGGAATGTCCGAGAAATAAATGTTGTAAATACTGTTTATTATAAACAGAGCATTATTTTTAAATGTTTGTATGTATAAAAATAACGTAAAACAGAAAATATCTTAAGATAATTGTAGGACTTTCTCAATTGCGTAGTGTGTAACTTCATATATATATATATATATATATATATATATATATATATATATATATATAGATAGATAGATAGATATAGTGTGTGTGTGTGTGTGTGTATATTTAGGCAGTAATTTTTCATTGATGCATGTTCCATTAAATAATATAGACAAGTTTTGACTATTTTAAGTATGCTCCTTTCATATTGTCTGATAAGCTTAATGACATTTTCATTAAAGGACGAAATGAAATCACCATATTGATATATGCTTAAATTTAATCTAAGCTTTCGGCTTGCATAAGCCATTATCAAAGATGACAATTACTTTTTAATATATCAACCAAGACACGGAACAATGATCATGTCTTAAAATATATATTTTATCGCATAGACACACGCCATGACCTACCTTCTTAATTCTTTAGTATTCTTTCCTTCCAGTTATTAAGAAACTGTTGCACGTCCGTCACTCTTATTTTCATGAACTGAATGTCTGTCACTATCACAGGCAAGTCTTCTAAGTTGTGTTCTGACATCTCTGAAACTTTAGATTTCCAATTCAAATATACATGCATTGTATATATATCCTCGTGTTTCACATATTTCGTTTCCCATTTTCAGTTTCACATCATCAGTTGTAATATCTGTCTGTATCTCAGATATGACGTATTATAATTACTTACATTATTTACATTATTCGGACTGTTAACTTCGTCTTCATTACTATAGTCACAACGTTTCGGCAATACTATGTTCCGGCTTTCTTCAGGTGATTGGAATTTCGAACCGAACCCTTTATTTCGTCAACCAGGGTAGATTGTTCTAGCTCCACATGCCATGCCTCTTCTGGATGTCTCTGCTACTTTCCTTTAAGTCAACTCTCCAAGTTTTAGTTCACCACTGCTGTGGCCAGGTATTGAACTCACAACTATTTGGGTCTAATCAATGGATCTACTCACTATATAAAGACGTTGATTAGATCCAGTGACCAGTCCCAAAGAATTATGAGCTCATTACCAGATTACAGCAGGGGTGAACCCCAGAACTTTTCATTGATATGGTGTTATTCATTTAAACAGTTATTCCATAATTTTCATCCGGATGCGAAAAAGAAAAGAAAAATTGCGGAAAAACTAAATAAATATCTGTCCGTTGAATTTAATCCAATAAAGAGAAATTGAACAAACATAGGAAATTACTTTGATATATATATATATGAATTCGCAATGTGAGAGAGGCCAGAAGTAAGGCATGTAGCAACATCAGTACGGCAAAAGGCACTCCTTTAAAGGCAAAGAAGGGGAAAAATATTTTAAGTCAAGTGATAGCGATTGCTGTACGATTTTTGAATCAAGCACGAGCAACACCGGGTCATGCTGCTATTCGTTAATAAGTCCGTCTTCAGATGATGCCACTGTTGTCTTAAAACCATATCACAGGTTCTCGTACGATCACTGAGGGTAAGCAATGATGATCCTGCTCAGTATCTAGATGGATGACCACGTGCTGTAAGCAAGAATGTGCGGGTGTTGTAATAGTTGACGGCTCAGTATTGAATCAAGCACAGGCAACGCCGGGCCATGCTGCTAGTAGTATATATATATATATATATATATATATATATATATATATATATATATATATATATATATTTAAAATGTTGTGTTATAGTTATGGAGGTACCGTGTGCCATATTGGGAAATAGATCGTTTGTATATATATATACAGCGTGGAGATAGTAATCAACAATATATGGTCGCTGAAGAAATTACATTCAGTTTCCAGATATTTGTTCAATATTTTCCTTTTCTTTTTTTCTTTTTCTTTTTTTCTCTTATCTTTTTAAAGAAAAACACTGAAAACTGCCAAAAGCGAAAATGCTGAGCGTTCTACCCGGAAATCAAACAGGGTCCGTGTGTACGGAAATTGGGTCTTGAAATATCTGCCAGAATGGCAGGTGGTGCCGAGGAAGAACTACAGGCGAACATGACGCGTATCCAAGAGGGACATTTTGACGTTGAATGCAACTTTCGCCTGAGTGGAACTGACGTAATGTAAGCAAAACTGCTGATTGCAAACAGGGATCTTGTGTTGGGTAACACTTGAAGGTTTTCGTTTGGGTCTTATTTTTATGTTTTGGTATGTTTCTATTCTTACTTTTTGTATTCGTATCTTTTCTCAATATTTTTTTTCATTCGGGCTTTCCTTTGACCATCGTTTTATTTTCTATTGGACTTTAATTTCTTTAACACACTTTGTCATCTTTTTCTTGTCAGCGCCATTTTTTCGTGTTCTTTTCTAATTTTTTTCTCTTGAAAGATTTGGATTTTATGCGCATTTTTTCTACTAAATTTGATCTCCTTTCGTAATCGAACAAGAAAATTTTGTATCGAATTTTTTACATTTTTAACGTTCTGTTTCGGTTTAAAATCGTTCCACCAGTCTCTCAGATAATCTATCTCATTCCCTTAATATCTATCTATCTATCTATCTATCTATCTATCTATCTATCTATCTATCTATCTATCTATCTATCACAACCTATTCCTATCTATCTATCTATCTATCTATCTATCTATCTATCTATTTATTTATCTATCTATCTATCTATATATCTATCTATCTATCTATCTATCTATCACAACCTATTCCTATCTATCTATCTATCTATCTATCTATCTATCTATCTATCTATCTATCAGGCAATTGTTAA